GTGTGTTGTGATTGGCAGCACTCGGCGCCTGGTCGGGAAATGTCATGCCCCTTACCATAGCCACCTGCGAGCTTCAGTGTAAATATTGCATCAAAATCAAATCAATTTGAGCGCGATTTAAACCCAGATGATTGTAACCACTCTAAGTTCGTCTGCTTTGGGAAAGCTAGTGTGTCTCTGACATAATGATAACACTCGTTGTTTTCTCTAGTGCAGCTCAACCAGGTCTCGTCCCATTCGTCGATATTTGTGATATCACAAATCCCGGAAAATATGCGTTGTAGTCCAAACGAGTCGTTCGTTGTAGTTTTTGAAAAGTGATTTCTATTAAATAAAATCTCCTTTTTGAAGTGGACTTTGAGCTTTGTAACTTCGCAGATCTTTTTTATGCTCAAACAGCAACATTACAGACTAACTAAAGTTGAAAAAGTGAAAAAGCATAATAGCACCCATTTAAAACATGAGACGCAGGGCAGGGGAACCAAAAAAACGCAAGGTCTAATGATGCTTAAACATTTTTTTTACTTCCTTTACTTGAGTGGCGCGTTTTGCGCTAGACGCAAAAGGCGCGACATATTTGATCGAGACGTGAGCGCGAAGGAGCAACATGGCCGTCTATTGAAAAACAATGGAAAAGTAGCAAAAAAATAAATAAAAAAAACACAGACAATGGAAAAGTAGCGCAACGGAACAGGAAAATGCGCTCTGCGAGACTGAAACGTCTTATAAGACTGATTTAAAAATAACATTTGGTTTATTTATGCTCTTAACACCTGTTTTAATTTGCACATCCTGTTTTTATTAAACAACATCTCGGACGCCAGTTTCGGTATTGTAGCGTGTAGCGTAATTCTCATTGCGACCGCTTGGGTCGCTATCACAGGCACTTATGGTTCCATGAAGAACATTTGGTGTAAAAAGTTTCTTTAGATTATTAAAATGTTCTAAACACTAAGAAAAAAAAATGGTTATTTGAAGAACTGTTTACTAAAAGTTTTTTTTGGGAAACCAAAATGGTTCTTTTAAGGCAATGCTGTAAACCCACATTATTTTCAAGCGTGTACCCGGATGAATCTTGCAAGAACATGTCCAGGATCCAGTTTTCTTGCGATAAAAGCATTTGCCAAATGCATAAATCTAAATATGACCCATTTCTGAGGTTGTGTGAGATTCACCCACATTTTATCTCATGCACAACATCTTTCAGATGTCAGTCTTTTAGTTGAGAACTTAAAAAAAAAGGAAATGGAAAAACAACCAAAATGCTATACTGTAGGTTCACTTTTTCAAAACAACAATAAAGACATCTGTTTCATACACTCGGATTTCTTCCTCTTCATCAAGTGCAACTATCTTTTACTACTGCAAATCATAATGGACTTGCTTTTCTTCAGAGTCAGACCGTTTGCATTGCTTGTCAGACTTGCACCCATCAGGTTTCTTTTCGTTTATGACCTGGCAGGAGCAGGGCAGACAGTCTTGGCGTACAGAAGTGAAGCCTTGGTGCCTTGACTTCTGCGAGCTGCTTCGACGTCGAAAAGACGGATAAACACCACTATGGCTGAATGAACCTAAAGTCCTTCGATCTGACACTCTACGGATGGCCGTGCGGAAAGTCTCTCCTGCAAAGTAGTACAACAAGGGGTTGAAGCAACTGTTGGACGCCGCCATGCACAACGAGATGACCAGAATTTTCACGAGGAACTCAATGACCGGGCAGCTCTCATTTAAAACTTTGGCATAAAGATGGACTGTGCGAGCGACGTGATATGGTAGGAAACACAGCAGGAATGTGCTCAGGACAACGGCGATCAAATACACCGAGCGTCGGCGGGTGTTTCCTCTTCGATTACCAATTTTTCGTCCTTTGATGAGTTTGCAGATGATGCATCCGTAGCAGACGAGAATTATAATGAACGGAATGACGAATCCAAACGAAACCCCCACGTAGTTCAAGCTATATATGCGATTCCATGACTTGTTGTTCCCCGGTTCAAAGCAACGCATCTTGTTATGCCGCTCTGTAGTACCTGTCATGAGGAATGGAATTGACGAGCAGGCCACAAAAACCCAGATCGCAAAGCATGATAGTCTGGCTCTCCACACCGTAACCAGGGACTTGTTGCGAATGGGGTGAACTACGGCGATGTACCGTAGTACGCTAAGACCTGTAAGAAACAATACACTTGTGTACAGGTTGACGTAAAAGGAAAATACACACCAGCGGCAAAACCAGTCAGGAAAATCCCACCGACCGCCCCTAAAATAGTACACCAGACGGAAGGGCAACGTCAAGGAGAAGCCAACATCTGAAATAGCCAAGTTAGTCATAAATACAGTGTTGGCCGTCTTCTTTGGAGTGAGACGCAGGAACACAAACAAAGCCACAGAGTTGCTGATAAATCCAATAGGGAATACGACACTGTACGTGACTTTGTACGCCAAATATTTGAAATCCTCACTTTCCTCACAAGTCTGATTCATGTCAGGTTCTTGGGTGACGTTGAGCCAAGATGGAGTTACCGATGTGAACACAGGAGCTGGAGGCAAAAAGAATAACAATTAGAAATTAAACGACTGTGTTGCGATCAGAAAAAGCGCAGTCATGGCACGCTTTAAGCATGCATGCAAAATAGAACGAATATCAGCTACAACAAGATGTCATGCTCTAGGGTTGATGGTTTTAATAATTCATAAAACACAATAGTAAAAAATAAATTCGAAAGTTCAAATCTCCTTCAGCAAACGTTATTGAGCCAAGAGATCAATCTGTACTGGTCAAGCATCTTTTGGCTATGCAAATGTGCAGGTCACCCAACCTGAACTGTTGTTTGCAGCATATTTGACTAAAAACTCTTTGCATGTGCTTGCATTTTCGCTCCCAATGCATGCGAGTCTAGTGTGGCCACACCACAAAAGACTGAGCATGCTGATAAAGTGATGAAGAAATGATATTAGAAAGTGATAAGTATTACAGTTCAGCCCTTGCTCAACAATAGCTTACTAAACCAGGAAAAAGACGTGTTTTATTTAAAACAGGTGTTTAAAAACTCCCCTTGGTTTTCAGGTTAAAAATTGCCATTGCCATAGAGGTTTAATACACAGACAGCAGGGTAGCATAAGCATAATATGCTTTACTTCATCTAAAACGTTTTTATACACTATTTTTAAAGCAGTTTTATATTTAATAGAGTTTATATTAATTTTGTATGAAACAATTTAGTATCTGAATATAAAAAAATCAATTTGCTGTATAAGTGAACTGCAAAAAGGGGGTTAAAATTATTATGATTATTATTATTTTAAAAAGGGGAAAAGGAAATGCAATACTTTATATTTGTGTGTCTATATAAGGCTCACATTCATGATTTTTTTAACTACCCAAATATCGTTATTTTATCAAGAAGTCTGTTGTTTCCAGTAGTCCCATCCATAGTTCATATGCAAAACATATGCAAAAGAATATTCAGAGAGTGAAATGAAAACAGTTGCACACTAACAATATTCAAATGACGGCTGTAAATATACACCTGAAAAACAAAACATGGGCTGTTGTTCTGCATAAAGAAAGGCATTGTTAATTATTAATGTGAGTAATAAACCAATTTTCTGTAAGTAACTTAACTGGTCTGGTTATGCTATTGAAAACACAATTGTACTGGATATTTACACTAAAGCTGCTCTTCCCTGGAATCACTAACGGAACAACTCTAACAAGTTTTCCAACTAGTCTTACATGAAAAGCACCTAAAGGTATCAGCATATTTTTCAAAACTTACCATGCTAATTCTTTACACAAAAGTACTCTGGACGTACTATATGGTACAGAAATGGTAAAATAGTTGATACTTTAGTTTATACCATGGTACTGAAATAGTAGTATTTAAGGTTCTTCTACGAATAGCCTACTCTGGTACTAGTGCAAATCCAAAATAATACGTTTTTGGTCACCACATTTACTTGAGCATATTGGATGTCAAGGACGCAGTACAAAAAGGTACAAATAAATATCACTGAACGAACCACTGAAAGAACCCTGCAAATATTGTTAATTAATTTCAGAACTATTAAATCACACCCTCACTGTACTTTTGTATTTTTTAAATTTATATCAAAATATGAAGCTCAATATGACTCATAATGAGACTCTAGCTGGAGTTTTACTCACCTGTCATTCTCTCTTGACCATCATCCTCCTCATCATCAGCGGACTGATGAATCCGGATGCGTTAAAATTACTGTAGCCTATAGCGTTATTTAACAACATGTCAAAATGTTCCTCTCTCGGCAGTTTCAAGTGTCTGCTTCCTCTATCGTGGTCTTGAAGAGTGCTGCCTCTTCTGTAGCTTACTTGGATGTCCCATCTTTGATTCCAGCACGCAACAGCACGAAATGCACCGGACTCTCCGATAGTAAAGAAAGTTACGTCCGAATCTTTTATAGAACCGCTTGCGTTCAATGATTCACACGAACCGATTCGCACAACGTTTTTTCGACTGCAGAGATGTGATAACTACACCGCATTTAAAAAAGAGATGTAACCTCATCGGTAAACAGCATATTTTCGCTAACATAAAATGAACGTAAACTTTTAGCCTACTTCTGGGGTATTTTTTGAATAATGATTCAAAAGAATAAGCGAAATGTTTTATGGGGCACATATATTGAACGAAACGAATCGATTCAATTTTCCAAAGAATTCAAGAGAAACCACACCTTCAGGAGTTTTTTTTCTTCTTCTTTTTTTTTTCTGTTGGTAGTTTCTCTGATGCAGGTGTGATGGCTTTCTATGCCTAATTCATATGAAATGTAATTGCGTAATTCTCTTAACTCAGTACCAAGCATGATATTTCCGTAATACATGTTCAATAATAGTATTACTATGTTTTTTTTTTTTTTGGATTGTCATAAACTTATAAAACAAGAAAAACACATATATGTATTAATAATAGATTAAAATATAAATGAAAAATACATTTTATTAATAAAATCATCATGATACATACTTTAAGGTTTTCATTTACTGAAACTGTTTGTTATTCTCTAACCAAATGTCACAGCTGGACATTGATTAGAGGAAGAGCGGTCGACGAAAATGGTAAGCATGAGACATCCTTCAAAAACATTAATTATGTTGCTGACCCCAAACTTTTGAATGGTATATATAAACAGAGAATGTTATATATCATGTTATTCTCTGGTTTTGATTCTGTCTATTGTGCGTAAATCATGCAAACCAGTTTGTTTATACGGGTGTCTGAGCACTAAATCACACCCCTGCTGTTTTATATATCAGCGCCTGTGTCTCAGTCTGCTTGGGGCTTCTTTTACGAGTCGTCCTCCCCTTAACTCGCAGTTCAAACTCCTTTACTGCACCCATGGCAATCTGTGTTTGAGGCCTGGAGGGTTGATACTCAGAAAATGCTGTAATTATGACGTCATTATGAAGAGGTTATAGAGGACCTTATACCCTTACTTCACACTCATATGCAAACTAACCTTCTGAGACCCAGAATTTTTTTTTTTTGTTTGTTTTTAGTTTTGTGAATTTAGTATTTTGTCATGTCATTACATTGTTTAGTGCATAAAATAAAATTTGACAAATTATATTTTATTCATATGTTATGCCATATCCTCTGTAGAAGACATCGGGACTTTAAAAAGACCTGTTTTTTAAGAAATAAAAAGACATGAAAAGGCAAAAACAGTGGGATTTTTGTTTTAATCACAAATCAATTTTAATTTTACTTAGTTTTTAGTTTTAATAAACTAAATCTAATTAGCATATTAATTATGTTTTTTTGGGCAACATAGAATGAACAAATAAGTGCAATAATGGGAGTAATAATTAGCAAAATTTTCATAATAATATCTAATATTTAATCGGAATATTGATACATAATTTTTTCTCTTCATTTGTTGTGTCTCCCAAAATGTGTAATAAACATGCTTTAAGTCCTGGTGTCCTCTACAGTGGTCATGTATGAAATCGATGTCCTGTTTCATAACAGAATGTCATATTTTGATTTGAAACCCCATAACATTTTCCTGAGATGTTGATTTATGACAAACAAAATATTATCATGTTTCCATAAGGGTGTTACACTTGATCACTAAATTAATGTCAGCCATTTTTAAAGACCAAGGAGAGGGAGTGGTCTTGGTGAAACAGCCAATCATTTGGTATCTCTGAAAAGCCCTGAATGTGCTCAGTACAGGACATCCAGACTTAAAACTGTGACATGTAACGTCTCATAGAAATCACTAAAACATAATGTCCTCTACAGAGGACAAAACTCCATAGCTAGTAGTCAGGAGGATATACAACTTATGTAAGTATCATAGTATTTCCTCTACAAAAGTTTTGTGATCTTATCAAATGGTAATACCATTTGGTAATTTGATATGTACCGTGGAATTTATTTATCATGAATTTGTATTTTTTATAAATTTGTCATTCCAACACAAGGCTTTTTAATGTCATATATCTGTGATATGTGCAACAAACTAATATTGTTGTATGTTGATTTATTTTATGTGTTATATATTCAGTGTATATATTGACTAATATATATATTTTTAACAGACCTTATATTGAGAAACAAAGATGGGAGCAGATAAACGGTGAGTGTTTTATGATTTATGAAGGTTTTACTTATTTAGGTAGATTTGCTGTAACCTAATTTAAATGTTGACATCCTAATAATGTTCATTAAATATTGTTTTAACTAGGATTAGCCGCACAGAACGCAGCGGCAGGTACGGCTCTGAACAGTATCGTGATGATGACCGCAGGGACCGACGAGATCGTGATGACCGTGGATACGACTCGTATCGCTGGAGTGACGATCGCAGAAGTGACCGCTACGATGGTGAACGAAGTGACAGAGGTGATCGATACTGGAGCAGGGACAGTCCTGAGGTGAGGGCTACCTATATATGTATTTGTTTATTGGATCTTTTGATATGAGAATGATGCTAACTTTACCAAATCTCACTGGTGTTACAGCGAGGAAGGAAGCGGCGCTGCAGTGATGGGTCTGATGACGGACACCACTCGGATGGTGATTACTCTGAGCATGATTACAGAGGAGACCCAGCTGACGAGAAGGAGAGCAAGACCATCATGCTCCGGGGTCTGCCCATGAACACTTCAGAGGCAGATGTAAGTTGTTGTTGTCTCCCCCACCCAAAAGCAGTGTTTTAAAAGGCTTCCACAGTATTGGAAAACCTGAATATATAGAGAGTTTTCTGAAATTGCATGGAAATCTCTGAAAGTATAATTATCAATAGTAAATAAATGTAACAAATATTTCAGAACTGGAATCAAATCTGTAACATGGACATTTTTGCACTTAATAATAACAACAAACATTTTAAAGGGGTCATTATGCTGCTAGAAAGAACATTATTTTGTGTATTTGGTGTAATGAAATGTTTATGCGCTTTAAGGTTAAAAAAACACATTATTTTCCACATACTGTACATTATTGTTTATCCTCTATACCCCTTAAATAAATATTTCCAGGCCCAGAATAAAAAAAATAAATAAATATCATGGAATTTTAGGCTGTGAATAAATTTAGTAAGCATTCCAGGCATGGAATCAAAAAATCGTATCATGGAAATTTCTGAATTATTATAATTAAGAATAATAATAGTAGCAAAAATGTATTTTAAATTTTTTCCAGGACCAGAATTAAAAAAAAAAATCTTATGGAATTTTAGGCTGTGAATAAAATTTAATAGTAATGAATTTAGTAAGTATTCCTGGCATGGAATCCAAAAATCGTATCCTGGACATTTCTGAATTATTATAATTAAGAATAATAATAGTAGCAAAAATTTTTTTTTTTTTTCCCAGGCCCAGAATTAAAAATAATAATAATAATAACAACAAATTAATTCAGTAAATATTCAAGGCATGGAATCAATAAATTGAAAAATAAAATGTTTTTTTTGAGTGAACATTAATAATATAAAATTATTTTAATAAATATATTAAAAATAAAGTACAAATAAAATTTGTAAATTCCAACCAGTGTTTAAAATAATTATTTTCTGAATTATTAAAAATGCATAAGTTTTTTAGTTTTAACTTAGATATTTTATCCTGGATTTCACTATGAAAGTCGAAATAGAAGCTGGCTTGGTTTTAGCAAACAAACTAGCAAACTTGATCTGACTTTTCCTTGTAATCCACAGATTCGAGCAGCCATTGAGCAGCTGGAGGGGCCAAAGCCAATGGACGTGAGGCTGATGAAAAAGAGAACAGGTGAGACTGATGTACCGCGGATCCTTCCTCTCCCAAACAAACCTGTGTCCACTGGGCCAACCTGCTTCCGCTCAAATGCCTTTTGCCATGGCAACATGTTATATGTCCAGTTTTACCCTTTCAGACTACGGAGTTAAAAAAAAAAAAAAAAAAAAAAAGGTACATGCAGAACTTACTCATAGTTATCAAGAGATAGGGTTGTACATTTGATACATGTTTGGAGGTAAGTTTTGTCTGGGTTTTGTGTGGCTCAAAATTGGCACAGTTGTATTTATGCCAATTGAAGTTACATGAACATAGGTTCAGTCATGTAGTTTCTTTATCTTGTTTAAGTACAAACATATTAAAGATCATCCAAAAGTCAATCTGATGGCAGCATCTGTCTCATAAAGATTATTTGCTTGTTAATACTAGCTATGTTTATGAATGTTTGCTTGGTTTTGATTATTGATTCAGCATGTTAGACCAACAGCTAGAATATTATAAGCTGCTGTTGCTATGGTAAAAGCTTCCAGGCAACCCCCTACATCATCCCTACAAGGGGGTCACGAAGCAGTTTGTGACAGAGTTTGAATGTTGTACCACTGAACCATATAAACTAACACGCCTCCCGTCTGTATATCTGAATGCCTCTCTAGGTATAAGCCGAGGTTTCGCCTTCGTGGAGTTTTATCACTTGCAAGATGCTACCCGATGGATGGAGACCAATCAGGTTGCTTCCTAATCACAAAGTCTAGCTTTTGCCCTGGGGAATAATGCAAATTAAATAGAAAAATATAAATGGAAGGAAAGCAAAAACAAAGTTGCTGCCCCAGCAGACTATATGGACAGAAATGGACCAAAGCCGCTGTTTTTGAAGGCAAGGTGTGACCAAAACATAAAGAGCCATTTGATGGATAT